CGTGGAAACTTTGATGATGAAGGAAAGCATTTAATTTGGGGCTTACAGTTTCAGAGGTTTAGTTCATTGTCACCATGATGGGGAGCATGCAGGGAGGTACTGTTGCAGTAGCTGAGAACTACATTCTGATCTGTGAGCAGAGAGCCTGTTCCTGGCATGTACTTTTGAAACCTCAAAGCCAACCTTCAGTGATATACTTCCTCCAACAATTATTCTAACAAGGCCACACCTAATTCCTCTAGTCCTTTGAAATAGCCCTAGTCTATTCAAATCTATGAGCCTATAGGGGTCATTTATTTATTTTTCTGAAAATGTTTTTCAGTGTAGCCTTGACCCTCCCAGATCAGGCTGACCTTGAATTCATCTTCACCTGCCTTTGCCCCAGAGTGCTGGGGCTCCAACATGGGGCCATTCTTTCTCAATCCACCACAGGCACCTTTTTTGGAATGTGTTTTGGGGCAGTATCACTGGCCCATGTGCATAGAAAGGAGAAGTCAGTGTTGAGTGTCTGTCCTAAAGCTCTCGTACTATACCCCCAACTGTATAGCTCTGTATATAGTGTCTGTCCTAAAGCTCTCCCACCACTCTCTCCCCCCTCCAGACTATCCCACATGCTGGGATTCAAAGTGTTCACCTAATTTTTTTTGACACAGTGATTTACTTGGAAATCAGTTCAGCTATAACAATTGGCCAGTGACCCCCAGGGACTTCCCTGTCTTTGGATTCCTGATGGTGAGATTACAAGCCTACATACCACTGTGCCCAAATTTCCATGGGTGCTGAGGCTCCACACTCAGATGTCCATATTCACATGGCAAGCACTTTAATTATAGAACTATCTCCCTTTCAACTTAATTTTTAGTTTTTCCCTTTTTTAATGTATTTTTAAGAATTATATATGTATTTTATGTATGACTGCTCTACCTGCATTTGTGTCCCTGCACTCCAGAAGAGAGCCTCAGATCCCATTATAGATAGTTGTGAGCCATCATCTGGATTCTGGGAGTTAAACTTGGGTCCTCTGGAAGAGCAGCCAGTGTTTTTAACCATTGAGCCGTCTCTGTAGCTCTTAGTTTATTTTCTTATACATTTTCTTCACTGTCTCGTAGAACTAATCTCTATTCCCTGAATTTTGTTTTCTGCTTTCTTTTAAGGCATCACTACCTTGTGTGGTAGTTTGAATAAAAATGTACCCCAGAACCTTGAACATTTGAATTTGTTCCCAGTTAGTAGAGAGCTGTTCGAATAGGCATAAGAGGTGTGGCTTTGCTGAAGAAAGTATATCACCTGGGGGTGGACTTTGAGACTTCAAAGATGAGCATCATTTCTAGTTAGATCTGCTTTATGCTTGTGGTTCAAGATGAGAGCTCTCGGCATCCTGGTCCAGCCATGCCTGCTGCTTGTTGCCATGCTTCCCTGCCATGATGGACTCTTACTCCTCTGGAAGCATAAGCGCCCTCTCCCCCAAAAAAACAACAACAACAACAAAGAACAAAACAAACAAACAAAAACCACCCCTTCTGTAAGTTACTTTGGTTGTTGTGTTTTAACACAGCAATGAAACAGTAACTAAGACATCTTTATATTCTCTTAGACCAGACCATCCATCACAGAGAGATTTGTCATCTAGAATTTAGTTTCACTGACCTCATTGCATCTGAAACCTTTATGTGCTCTCTGCTGTCTTCAAGTCTCATTAACCTGGCACAGGAGATGCCATATCAGATCACAGCCCTATCACTTGCTGATTTTAACAAAAACAGAACAGAGTCAGAGGCAAGCCAAGCCCTGACTTAGGAGGCCTTTATTCTTCACCTGACTCTGAGTCCAGTGTGATTGTCATTATCTAAGGACCTGGCTCAGCACCTACCCTTAGGAGATGCTTGGTGAGTAGTGGTGTAGTGGGGCTGGTGATGTAGTTCAGTGCTAGAACACTTGCCTAGTGGCCTAGTGTAGACAAGGCCCTGGTTTTGATCTTCAGCAGTACAAAACCAAAACAAAGATACTAATGTCTTATCATAGGCTAGGCCTTGTAATTGGCACTGCATTTGTATTAATATATTTGATTCTGCAAACGTTGCAGTGGAGCATACTAGCTGTGAGACTGTCACACTAAGGACACTGAGCTGCACAATGCAGCCTGTATCCATTTTTTTGTGTTTTATTTGCATGTTCTATTTTTTGGAGTACAAATTTTGCTGTGTAGCCCTGTCTGGCCTGATACTCACTATGTGCACCAGGTTGTGTTAATCCCACTGGGTGAGAATAAGACCACTGTCACAATTTTCAAGTCAAAATTGAAACAAACTTTATTAAATACTGACCAGGCCCAAATACAGGATTCCCATGGAAGGACTGTAGTGCTTATAAAGACAAAACCCACTCCTTGTCTTCATCCTATGGGGTGCAAGCATACATCCTGATACACTTCCTGATACACTACCTTCATGTAATCAAGCACACCTTCTGCAGGTGGAACAGCCAGCCCTGTTTACACAGGTTTGTTTATATTGTACTTATTAACTTACATGAACAAAAACCCTCAGCACTCCAGGAAGTTATCTGCCCTAGGGCAAGTGGAGCTTAGTGGCTAGAGGCAGTTTTGTTTTTTAGATCTCTTTAGATTACTGCACAGTGCAATAATTTTAGCTCTCACAGCTAGTCTCGTAGTGAAGGCAGTTCTCCTGCCTCAGCCTCCTTGGTGCTGGAGGTACAGGTGTAAGCTACCATGGTCAGCTTTTGTTTTGACATGGTCTCCATATTCTCTTAGGCTAATTTCAGATTAACTCCTGTGACCCTCCTGGACAGATGTATACTGACTGTTAACATGGTGTTTCCAGGTATATGCATAAGCCCTTGTCTTTCTGGCCAAGAAACTTACCAAAACACCTGAAATATGTGCCCTTTGTCCCCCCTCCTTTTTTATTTGGACGAATGGGGTGCTGCTGATTTTGTTGTTGTTTTGAGACAGTCTTATTCTCTACCCTAGGTTGACCTGGATTTTACTGTGTAGCTCGGAATCTATGTGGCTCACCGTACTGCCTCTGGCTCCTGAGCACAGGAATTACATTACACTTGGCTCTGAATAATCATTTCTTTAGCCTAGCTTCCCACCAGACCCCTGGAAACCGTTCCTCTCCTTTGGCCCCTTGGAGAAGGTCTTAAGGTTTCTACTGTTTCTACCTTAAAAAAAAAAAAATTAAAGATTTATTTATTTATTTATTAGTTTTATGTGAGTGGTTTACCTGCCTATATACCTTTATGCCAGAAGAGGGCATCGATGGTTGTAAGCTGCCATGTGGGTGCTGGGAATTGAACTCGGTCCTTTGGAAGAACAGCCACTGAGCCATCTCTCCAGCTCCTTAATGTTTTTTTGTTTTGTTTTTAATATTTTTATTTATTCTGTATACAGTGTTACATATGCCTGCAGGGCAGAAGATAATACTGGGTCTCATTACAGATGGTTATGAGCCACCATGTGGTTGTTGGGAATTGAAGTCAGGACCTGTGAAAGACCAGCCAAAGCTCTTAATTGCTGAACCATCTCTCCAGCTCTGTTTCTACCTTTTCACAGTTGAGGCAGAGCTGGAGGAGTCTCAGTAATATGGCCGGTCTGTGCTGAGAAGCTAGGCATTTGGGAGTCTTAACTCTAAGGCTTTACAAGTACCCTGAAGGTATGGATATGATTCATTTGGTATCATGTGTTGATTGGCTAGCATGCATTATCAAGTGCTGGTTTTGGAAGCCCCTGGTGTCTTCTCAGAAGAAACTCAGCTTGAAGTGGAATGTTCAGGAATTCAAGGTCATTCTCAGCTACCTAGATAGTTAGTTTGGACTCCTGAGACTTCTGCCACAAAAGAAAAAAAAAAAAAAAAAAAAAAAAAAAAAAAACCATGACCCACATAGAATGAATCTTTGATCTGGGAGTCATAATATCACACATCTTTAGTCTCAGCACTTGGGAATCAGGATGGTCTCTGAGTTACACAGTGAGTTCCAGGACAGTCCATGCTACATAGTGAGACCCCTTCTAGAGTCTTGAGTATGTTTCTGTGGTCTTCTGTACATGTTGAGGTTGTTTTGGGAAAAGGGAATAATGATGATGGGGAAGCTGTCCTGGCACAGGGTATAGAAGAACAAGAACTCATTAACTTTCTTGGAGTATTCCAGTAAAACCCTTATGAAGTAACAGTGAATGAGGGAAAGAGCATTGCCATAGCCACATGGAATTGTTTTGTTTTTTGAGAATTTTATATTAAGCTGAGAAGGACCCTGAACTGTTTATCCTCCTGCCTCCACTTCTTGAGTGCTGAGATTATATGTATCACCATGCTCAGTCCTCAAAATGTGGCGTATATGATGCATATTTGTTGCCAATGGTTTATAAAGTATAAAATCTTATTAATTAAATTTGTCATGGTAAAAATAAGAACTCTAGGGCTGGGGGGTTGTGACTCAGTGGTAGCTGGCCAGTGGTGGCACATGCTTTTGATCCCAGCACTCGGAGGCAGAGGCAGGTGGGTTCCTATGAGTTTGAGGCCAACCTGATTTATAGAATGAGTTCCAGAACAGGCTCCAAAGCTACAGAAAAACCCTGTCTCATGGGGGGCTGGGACGGGGGGGGGGGGAGACAACAACCAAAGAAACACTTGCCTAGCATGCCTTAGGCACCACACAAAATAGATTTATTGAATGGAGCTTAGAACTCTAGGGGCTAGAGATGTAGCTCAGTTGGCAGAGTTTCTGTCTAGTGTGTATGAAGTCCTGGGTTCAGTTCCTAGCATCATAGAAACCAGGTGTGGTGGTGCACACCTCTGCTCTTAGCATGAAGCAGGAGGATCTGGAGTTTGAAGGTAGCCTGGACTATATGACCTTCTTCCCACCCGAGAGAGAGAGGGAGGGAGAGAGAGAGAGACAGACAGAGAGACAGAGAGAACAGGTTAGTAGCATCTTACACAGCTATTCATACTATTCACCATGTTTCATTGCTTCCTCCATAGACCTTAGGATGCATTATAGCATTGTCCTGATTCTATAAGTTTCCATGTGTGTGGATCCAAGAATTTGTTGAGAGATGGAAGAGCCTCAGAAAAACGACCTGAACGTGGCAGGGCAGGAGGAAGATAGTCCAGTCAACAGCACCAGCCCTCAGATTTCTGTGAATGAATTTTCCTGCCATTGCTGTTACGACACCCTGGTTAACCCCACCACCTTGAACTGTGGCCATAGCTTCTGCCGGCATTGCCTAGCGTTATGGTGGATGTCTTCAAAGAAGACAGAGTGTCCAGAATGCAGAGAAAAATGGGAAGGTTTCCCCAAAGTCAACATTCTCCTCAGGTAACACTAGGTGCTATTGGCAGCATGGATTTTCCATGTGGTTTCTCTGTGGGAACTGCTGTTTGAAAAGGAGCAGGCTCAGGGCAGATCATTCTAGGAGATTCCTTTTCTCATAAGTGACTGCCACCTGTCCTTCTGTTTTGTTTGTTTGTTTTTTAGGCAGGGTTTCACTACGTCATGCCTAGCTGGCATGGAAGCTGCTTGTATAGATCAGGCTGGCCTTAAACTCAGAGATCTGTCTGCCTCCCAAATTCCACTCCCATTACCCTTTCCTGTCACCCCCTGAACCTGACTTACTCTTTACTTTTTTGAGACTGGATCTCACTCAGCTGAAGCTGGCTTCAAACTCACTTGTCCTCTTGCCTCACAGGCTGACATGCCTAGCTGATTGTTTTGTTCTACAAGAAGAACAGAATAAATTTTTGCTTATGACACTTTCCAATTGCTTGTAACCCCTTGTTCTAGAACATCCCCCTCCGCCTTTTTTTTTTTTTTTTCTGGTTTTTCAAGACTGGGGGTTTCTCTAGTTTTGCAGCCTGTCCTGGAACTAGCTCTTATAGACCAGGCTGGTCTCCAACTCACAGAGATCTGCCTGCCTCTGCTTACTGATTTATACTTATGGAGAAATTGATGAAACTATACTATTAGAAACTGATGCTGATTTTCATAATTTATAAATAAAACCCATGGCTGCTGTCACTTGCTGGAGTTTGTCTCACAGCTAGAAATAAGGGCTTTCAGATGGCCAGCTCTTCTCTTAGTTCATGAAGGAAGGCCTTTCCAATTTTTGTTTGGTTTGATTTTGATTTCTTTTTTAAAAGATTTATTTCTTTATTTTATGCATATGAGTGCTCTCTCAACTGTGTGCCAGAAGAAGGCATCAGATAGCAATATAGATGAATGTGGTTGCTGGCAATTGAACTCAGGGCCTGTGGAAGAGCAGCTAGTGCTCTTAACTGCTGAGCCATATCTCCAGCCTCTTCTTTTTGTGCTTTAGGCTTATTTATATGTATGTTGTTTTATCTGCATGTGTGTATGTGCATTTTATTTGCTCCTGCTGCCCAAGAAGAAGGTGTCGGGTCCCCTGGAATTGGAGTTAAGATTATGAGACATCATGTGGGTTCTAGGAATCAAACTCAAGTCCTTTGTAAGAGCAACAACATTTTGACACAGAACCTTCTCTTCAGCTCTTCCTAGTTTTAGGGTATTTTTTTTGGGGGGGGATCATTGTTGTTTTTGCATGTATAGTTTTTGTTTGTTCATTTGATTGTTCTTTGAGACAGGTCTTACTATAGTCTGAGACTCACAAAAACCTGCTTATCTCTGCTGGGACTAAAGGGGTGTACCCCATGCCTAGTGCCTCTGAAGCTTTGATCCTTGTTTCTGCTGTTGCCTTAACAACAAACCTAGCCTTTCTCAGATCAGTAGAATAACCCAAAGGTGGTGAGTCCATTAACCCAGCATTGGTCATAACTGTCAGCTTTACTTTATCTGAATATTAATCTTACCTGGAAAGAGGACTCTCTGATTTTACATAATTGAAAATGAGAAGAGCCCTATGGGGGCCAGCAAGATGACTCCATGGGTAAGGGCACTTACTGCCAGTCCTGGCTACTTAGGTTTAATCTCCTACATCCACAAAGGGAAAAGTTGTCCTCCACCACATGCCATGGAGAGAAAAATGGGAAGGTTTCCCCAAAGTCAATACATTCATAAACCTATATACTAAATAGGTAAATGTTATAAAACATTATATTTTTTAGAAAGAGCCCTAGACTCCCCCATATCTAGCTTGGCTCTCAGAGCTCATAGAGCAGACCAGCCTGATAAGTCAGCACTGTCTCCTTATCAGAGAAGCTTTTCATAGCAAACAGATGCTGCTCCAGAAGGCCAAAACTGCTGGACTTAGCAGATAATCCATGACTATGGCACTCAGCTCCAGTTAATTATAACACAACCATACACCATAGACCCACAGAAAATCATGGAAACATTGGAATAGCTAGAGGGCCAGGATGCTTGATGTCATGAAGTATCTTTGAGCCATGACAAGAAACTATAACCATGAAATCTGAAAACTTTTTTCCTAAACAAAACCTGAATAAACATTCCACCAGTTGGCAGTTGACATGCTAATGTGGTTGGGGGAAAATTTCTCAGGTTCTACCACTAGGTCAAGAGCCACAGATAATCAGTGACTGCTGAGAGAAGGGGAATCCGAGGTCTCCAGGGCACGCTCACTAATAAGCCTTCCTATTTCCAAGTGGTCAGCCTTCAACACATGTATATTGTATGTGAACTCACTGGGTTTTAGGTATAAAATGTTTACAGAGAAGAAGTCATTAATTTTTTATTGTTGTTTTTTTTTTTAATCTTTTGTTTGTTTTTTCAAGACAGAGTTTCTCTGGACAGCCTAGGCTGTCCTGGAACTCTGTAGACCAGGCTGGTCTTGAATTCACAGAGATCCATCTGCCTGCCTCTGCCTCCCAAGTGCTGGGATAAAAAACATTTGCCACCACCACCCAGCAGAAATCATTAATTTTAAGGGGAGGATTGGAGAAGAGGGAAAGGTAGAAATGATATAAATTCAGTATTCATATATGAAATTCTCAAGAAAAATTTTTAATTAAAAATAAACTAGATTTATTTTTAAAGAAGGAAATAACACTTATGTCAAAAAATAACTATATAGAATACTTTTTTCCAGCTGAACTTCATTTTCTACTTCTATAAACTAATTTTTATAATAATAGCATAAGTAGTACACTCACATACATTCATATACTTTTGATTTTTGTTGGCTCTTTGAAACAGGGTCTCACTCTGTAGCCCAGGCTGGCTTCAAAACCACAGTAATCACCCTATTCAGCCTCCTGAATGCTGGGGCTACAAACATTAACAGCCATGTCCAGATTATTGTTTATATTATTTTACTAAGATTCAAAATTAGTGATCAAGCTAAAGACCTCACCTCAAAATCCTTTCCTTTTTCTGCAGAGTAATTTCAGTTATGACTTACTTGTGACTTCATTCAAAATTTTTTTTTTTTTTTAAGAGGACTAGAGAGAGAACTCGGGGAGGTAACACTGACTGCTCTTGCAGAGGACCTGGGTTCAGTTCCTGGCACCCACATGACAGCTAACAGATACCTGTAACTCCAGCTCCAGGATGGTGCCCATACATACACTTAGATACACACCCACACATGAAATAAGTGTATCTGTTAAAAATAAAAACAAAAACCAGTGCCCTTTGAAGCAGGGCATGCTGGTACAGGAAGAGATCAAGGAGTTCAGTCTCATGTAGCATAGGCTACATGAGACCTTCTTTCAAAAAAATTAAAAAATAAAAACAAATACCTTTCAGCATATGTGCTGTCAGAAAAAGGCTAGTATTTTCCCACCTCAGTACTGTGTTATCAGTGTGATGCTGCAATGTACTGTTGTCAGCCAACATTATGTATGTCCTAAATTATCCAGCTTGATACAGAATGGCACAGTAGATACATTTATAAAAATAAAAATATGTAGTATTTTATAAGACTTCAGTGTTATATTTCAGAGTCAGCAGATAATAATATTGCCCCTCAAGCATCAATGATAGAAAGAGCCATCTAACCTTCACACATGCATCCAATCATCCATGGAACATGTGTGCGTACAATCATTGTATTTTTTTTTTTGGACTCAGTCTCACTGTGTCACCCAGGCTAACCTGTATGAACCAGGCTATCCTGGAACTCACAGAGTTCTGCCCCTGAAATTTAAAGGTATAGTTTTAAAGATATATGTACCACACCTGGCAATGTGAGTATGGCATGCATACATCAAGGGCTGGGCTGTAGCTCAGTGGCAAAGCACATTGCTACCACATATGAGGCCTTAGGTTCAAACCCCAGTACTTCAGGAAAAATGAATCTGATGGAAATATTTCATTTGGCTGTTTCCTTAATGGTGGACACATAGATTGTTCTTCTAATTCTTTTTTTTTTCACATGTTCTTAAGTTTTTATTTTTATCACAAAGCAGAACTCTTTGCTGCACCCTTGTGCACCCTTGTGGATTATGCAATGATTGTATTAGTGAGTGTGGTCTCTGAATTATGTGTTTTGTCAAATATCTGTCCTGTGATTTCTCTCTTCTCCACAGGGATGCCATTGAAAAGTTATTTCCTGATGCCATTAGAATGCGAATCGAAGACATTCAGCAGAATAACGACATAGTGCAGAGTCTTGCAGCCTTTCAAAAATATGGGAATGATCAGAGTCCCTTAACTGCCAGCACAGCACGAGTGAATCAGCAGAGAGGAGGGGGATTCTTCTCTGGTGTACTCACAGCTTTAACTGGTGTGGCAGTAAGTTTGACTGTTTAATCTGTGCCCTGCGTTACCCACATTTACCTGTGAAGTCAGTTGTTTTAACATCACTTGAAACAGTTGATGTGTGACCGTGTCTACCTCATTAAAATTGTATGTTAATAACAGAGAATTGCCTTGGTAAGGGTTAGCTCTGTCCTCTTCAGTCCTCCTCCTGATCTGTGCAGTGAGTGGCATCATAATGACCTATATTTTAGAACTAAGGAAAGAGGCAGAACAAGACTGAGAAACCATGTCTGTGCTGATGCTTGACTTTTAAGAGCACACCTACCACCGCCAATGCAAAGACTCCTTGAAATCTTAAAGTTTTCCCTATAGAAAAGGCATATGAGTTGGTGGGGTCAGGGACACAACTGTTCCTTGGCTGTCTGCTGTCTACTCTTTCCAGATCCCTCTGCCCAGCCATGAGCAGAAGTGAGTCTGTAGACACTGTCCTCACTTTGCTATGGCAGAGAGTCCCTGTTTTCCTGTATGGGCTTGGCATGGTTTCTCAGATGCAGCCCTTCCATACCCCTTCCCGCCTCACACTTACATCCTCAGAAACTGATCTTTCTACTTCTGACAGCCTGTCTCCTTTCAGGTCATCCTGCTTGTGTATCACTGGCGCAGCAGAGAGTCTGAGCATGGCCTCCTGGTGCACAAGGCTGTGGCCAAATGGACAGCAGAAGAAGTTGTCCTCTGGTTAGAACAGCTGGGCCCTTGGGCCTCTCTGTACAGAGAAAGGTTCTTATCTGAGAGAGTAAATGGAAGGTGAGGAAAACAAAATGTAACACACCAGGCCAGGCATGCCTAACTTTAATCCCAGAGCCAGGTGGGATCTCTGAGTTTGAGGCCAGCCTGGTCTACCTAGTAAGTTCTAGGCCAGCTAGGGTTACATAAAGAAATCCCGTCAAAAAGAAAACCAAAAAAAAAAAAAAAAAAAAAAAAAAAAAAAAAACCATAAAGGACCTCTGGCATCTCATGTTTGTAGATGACTTTAGTGACATACATTCTACCTGCCACAGATCGTTATTAGAAGTATATAAATATGTGTTGTTGGATTTTTTTTTTCTTCTTTTCCTCCTTTTGACGGTCCACCACCCAGCTCCCAAATGAATCACATGGAGTCGTATTCTTTCTTATGAATATCCAGCCTTAGCCTGGCTTGTTTCTAGCCAGCTTTTCTTAAATTATCCCATCTACTTTTTGTCTCTGGGCTTTTATCTTTCTCTATTCTATTTCTATTCTATATAACTTTCTCTACTTATTCCATGACTTGCTGTGTAGCTGGATGGCTGGCCCCTAGAGTCCTCTTCCTTCTCCTTCTTTCTCTTCTAGTTTTCTCCTCTATTTATTCTCTTTGCCTGCCATCCCCACCTATCCTTTCTCCAGCCTAGCTATTGACTGTTCAGGTATTTTAGACAGGAAAAATAGCACAACTTCACAGAGTTATGCAAATGCAACATAAAAGAATGTACCACATCTTTGATTATTAAGACAAATATTCCACAGCATAAACAAATGTAATACATTAACAAATGTAAACATGGGTTTGTAATGTCTTCACAGATATACAACCAGTCTACCTTTAGAACAATTTCCTGACTCCCAAAAGCAAATCCTTCCCTTTATCCAGAAGTGTATTTGTCTGTGGTTCTTGTATATTAATGCAGTCATACAGTATGTAACCCCCCATAATTTCCCATAATTTCAAGTTCATACATGAAGAAAAGCATGCGCCTGTGCTTTACTTGGTGTCTGAAAAGCCAGGTTGTCAGTTTTTCACTTGATTGAGTTGATTCCATTTGTAGCTGTTCTGAAGAGTGGTACTAAGATCATTCACACACAAGGTTGTGTGTTGCTCCAGCCTGCGCGGTCAGTTGATGGGACCCTGATGGAGGGAGTGAGAATGAGGGGACAAGAGACTTGAAAGATGGAGACAAGACAGTATTCTGATTAAGTTTCATTTATTGAATATAACCACAGGGTTTAAGTAGTGGAGAAATGAGGGAATGGGCCAAAGAGAGGATGTGAGGGAGGAAGAATGTCCTTCCAAGCAGAATGCAGGTATTCTGCTATCAGACAAATTGCGATAGGTAAGTCTGCAGCTGGGACTCTTTCAGGGTCAGGCTGTGTCATTTGCATCACAGGAGAACAGTCATAGGGAAATGGAAAATTACCATTATGTTAGTATAGTAGAAAAGACAGCTGTTAAGATGCTAACATTGCTCTGAGGTTCCCCATAGCATGTAGATATGTATTCTGGGAATTCTTTTGGAAAAGAGTAGCTGCATCACAGAGTCAATCTGTCTTTTCCACAGGGCTGACTCATTTTATATCAGTGACATTTTAATTTCTATGTTATTCCTCACTATGGAAGAATATTATTTTTAAAACATAATGTAAGACATTATGACAAGAGTGCAGTGTCTTTATGTTACTACTCTTCACAGAATATTGCTGTTAATACCACAATAGACATAACTGAGCATGTTGGTACACAGTTGTCATCCCAGCTCTTGGAAGGTGGTGGGAGGGTCAGAGTCCAAGGTCAACCTGAGTGATATATTGCGCCCTATATTAAATATATTTTCAAATCTGAGTGTGTTTGCTTGCCAGGATGCCCTGCTGAGGATCACATAGGCCTTTGAACATGCCAGTTCCTTTCTCTGCCCTTCCCAAGCCCTAGCTTTTTTATATTTATACAGTTATGTAAATGTGTTGTTGAGTTTGTTTTGCTTTTGTTTGTTTGAGGCAGATTTCACAGTGTATACCCTGGCTGAGCTTGGCTGTTCACTTCTCACACCATAGTTTCCCATGAACTCTTAATTATATGAAGGAACCCATCTTTTACATTCTCTGCCACTGAGCTCTAGGCCTACAATGTGAAGTTTTGTAAAAGTGAATTATTGGAGTTTTGTTTGTTTAGTTTTACATTTTGTTTTGTTTTTTCATTGTATTTACTTTTTAGATAGTGATTTTTAAATTTATTTTTTTATATGTGTGTGATTTTGCCTCCACTTATGTCTATATACCATGCTAGGCACCTTCAGAGGCCAGAAGATGGCATTCACATGCCTTGACCTAGAGTTAAATGGAGTCATGAGCTACCGTATCATTGCTAGGAATTGAGCCCAGGTCTTCTGGAAGAGCAGCAGAGCCATCTCTCTAGCACCTAGATAATTGTTTATTAGTGAGAAAAATAAATAAGAGGTTTATAACTTTTATTCAATTGAATCAATATCCATCTTACACCAATCAAAATGGCTAAGATCTAAAACACCAATGACAACTTATGCTGGAGAGGATGTGGAGAAAGGGGATCAGTCCTCCATTGCCCATGGGAGTGCAAACTTATACAGCCTCTGTGGAAATCAGTATGGCGATTTCTTAGAAAATTAGGGCTCAGTCTACCTCAAGACCCTGCAATACCACTGTTGGGCACATTCCCAAAGGAGGCACACTCATACCACAAATACATTTACTCAACTGTCTCAACTGTGTTCATAGCAGGATTATTCATAATTGCCAGACCTTGGAAACAACCTAGACAACCTTCAAACTAAGAATGTGGTGTATTTACACAATGGAGTACTACTCAGTGGAAAGAAACAATGACATCCTAAAATTTGCAAGCAAATGGACAGAACTAGAAAAAAAAAAAAAAAAAAAAAAAAAAAAAGACATCCTAAGTGAGGTAACCCTGACTCAACTCAGTAAGACAAATATAATATATACTCACTCATAAGTGAATACCAGATATAAAGCAAAAGATACCCACCCTATAATCCCACAACCCCAGAGAAGATAGAACCCTCTTCCAGAAACAGATGGAAGCAGATGCAGAAATCCACAACTAACCATTGGGCCAGCCTCCTGGAATACAATTGAAGTGAGGGAGGTGCAATAATATGAACAAAGAAGTCAAGACCATGATGGAGAAACCACAGAATCAGCTACCAGAGCTAGTGAGAGATCCCTGACTCCAGTCTGACAAATGGGGAACCTGAATAAGACTGAATTAGACTCCTTTAATATGGGCGACAATGATGCGGCTGGGACAATATATAAGGCAACTGGCGCTGGGTCCAAGATCTAACACTAATGCACAAACTAAAAGTGGAGCCCATTCTATATGGGCTAGCCTAGACACAGGATTGTGAAGGGTGGGGAGGTGCCTTGGTCCTGCCTCAATTAGATGATGGGGCAGACTTAGACTTCCTAGGGGAGGCCTTACCCCCTCTAAGGAGTGGAGGGAGGGGGAACTGGGATTGGAACTTTAAAAATAAATTTAAAAAATGTCAAGTTGAATCAATATCCCAACACAACAACTGTTTTGTTTTTTGAGATTGAGATCTCAATATATTTTCCAGGTTGGTCTCAGACTTAGCTAGTCTTAGCCTTCCAAGTCACTAGTATTACAGATGTGCACTATTAAATCCAATTAAAACAACCACTTTTACTGTAGTAATGTTCAGTTGGATTTCCTTCTGGTTTTCTCTTGCACATACCCTTTTAAAAATAAAGTCATATATGACTACAGGAATCTGTAACTGACAGATTAGAGCCTTAAGAACAAACAACCAAACAACCTGATGTGCCTAAGGCAAGTCATTTTATTTCTGAAGCCAGTTTCTGATCCATAAAATGGGCATGATGCTACTCTCTGCAGAATTACATAGATAATGACAATAGTGTGTGAAGATATTTCCTACTGGTAACTGACTGGTAGTAAGCAAACTGCTCTTAGCAGTCATCTGCACTGCTGCCTGCATTTAACATTCTGCCTTTCCAAGCACAGTAAGGCAGAACCCAGTATTCTGCATTCCATTTTATTCTCAAAAGTCATTTCTACCCCTTCCCCTTCCAGGTTGCTTTTAACTTTGACAGAGGAAGAATTTTCCAGTGCACCATACACCATAGAAAACAGTAGCCACAGAAGAGTTATCCTGATGGAGCTGGAGCGTGTGAGAGCCCTGGGTGTGAAGCCACCCCAGAATCTCTGGGAGTACAAGGTAAATTCATTCCTGCAGTGGGTGAAACACAGCCTTCTCAGGTCTCTGTCCCTTATCTGTGGGTTGTGTCCACAGGATGCATTGTATTACAGGCAAGATGCAAGAACCATACATAGTCTTTTGCACATAGTTTCTTCTCCCTGGGACTCTAGTTCATTCTGTTTCTCATTAATGTAATCCTTCACTAGATGTATGTGTGACACTTTATGGATTTTCCTGTTGATGGACAACTTTTCTGTTTTCACTAACACTAATAGTGCTGCTTTAGACATTTCATCACTCTTTATTGAGCTCATATATACAGGTGAATATTCACAATATATGTAAAAGAGTGGTATTATTAGGTCACAAATAATACACAGCTTCATCTAAACTGTATTTGATAGCTTGATTTTCATCATGACTATGTCAGTTGATTTTCCTTCACAGATAGAATATAATGTATACTGTACTAAAGAGCAAGTATCTTGGATATATAGACATGTATATTGAAAGAGGCATTGTGAAGGAAGATAATACTGTATAAACTCTTAAATATATAGTGGAAAATGTTTGTTTGTAGTTCAAGAGGTGCAAATGGAACAATCAAGTGACTTTTACCCATTCTTGATATAATATGAAAGAACCTACTCCTCTTTGTAGCTATTGAATTGAGCCTTAATCTAGTGGACAATTTGTTAATAACCTCACAATGTAAACTGCACTGGCTTGGGAGGTGGGTTGCTATTTTGTTTCTTAAACATAGTCTGTCTTTGTTAACCAAATTGGCCTGGAACTCACTGTTCTCCTGCCTCAGACTCCTTAGTCCTGGGATTACAGACATGCACCATCAAGTCTGGATGGGAAAAAAAAAATTGGTCATAGCAGTAAGTTAAAAGCAGCCTAAGGGCACAGGGTCCCAGTGCATGCCTTTAATCCCAGCACTTGGGAGATGAGGAGGGTGTATCTCTGAATCGAGACCAGATGGTCTTCAGAGGGAGTTCCAGGATAGTGAGTGCTACACAGAAAAAAAAAAAACCTGTATCAAAAACCCAAACAAACAAACAGAAATAACCCTCTGGCCTAGGGAGATGGCTCAGTGGGTCATGTGCTTTCTGTGCAAACACGAGCTGAGTCCAGATTCCCATCACCCATGGAGAAGCAAGGCATGGTGGCCTATGTGTATAATCCTAACTCTAGTAGGTCAGAAGTAGGTGAATCCCAAAATCTTGTTAGCCAGCTAAATTGGTAGGGTTAGGGTTCAGTGAGAGACTGTGATACAAAAACAAGAAAGAGGTCACTATTGTTGATCTTTGACCTTTGCACACAGGGGAGAATACCTTCACAAATGTGATAACATAAACCACAGACACAAACACACACAGAAACTTATGCCCATCATTAGCAGTAGTTAAATAACAGACAGACATACCCACTGAAAAAAGAGAAAATGACTGTGTTAATGAGATCACAGGGATAGCTTATTGATAGATCTTATCATGTCTGCACCAGAGGCCATGTTCAATACCCAGCATAGATGATTGGTTGGTTGGTTGCTCTATTAACAGATAGGCAAACAGTTAGACTTTTTTTTTTTTTTTTTTGAGGCAAAATTTCGCTGTTGTGTAGCCATACCTGGAACTTACCATCTTCCTCCCTCAAGCTTCCAATTGTATCCTAATTTTTGAAGAATGGTAGTGAGGCTTCAGGCAGAGGACTTACAACAGGCAGATTGGGTTGACTTAAATGATCTGAGTGAACAAATCAGTTCATACATGTGTCATTCTTTTCATGGCTCTTTATTCCTCAAAAATGTTCTTCCCAAAAGTTCTCTCTCTAAAAACTCTCTTTAAAATTTCTCCTCAAGCTGGTCTGTGGTATTGCACACCTTTAATCCCAGCACTCAGGAGGCAGAGGCAGGAAGATTTCTCTGAGTTTGAGACCAGGCTGGTCTACAAGAACTAGTTTCAGGAGAGCCTCCAAAGCCACAGAAATACCCTGTCTCGAAAAACAAAAACAAAAGAAAAGATTTCTCTCCACACAGATACAATTAACAAGTCTCTGACAATAGCAAGAATACCAGGCATGCATATCTTCTGGAACCAGGTAGGCAGAAAAAATCTTGAGAAAAGCTGGAGCCTCATGTCTCTGCAGGGGGTGGAGAGTGGAGGGACACACACACACACACACACACACACACATAATACGTGACTAAATCTCAGAGGGGATGAGACTTGTAAAAAGTGCTGTTAACTGATTAAAGGGGAAAACTATGGCTGAGATACAGAGGCTGCAGCTCTTACGCTGATGCCCTGTGAGAAAGAATTTCCTTTCTCTGGGGCCTTTTTTGAGAATATAAAGCACCCAGTATATTTTCTCCATCAGAAGTTAATTCTGGTGGGATGATACCTAGAATATTAATTGCTACTTCTGTAATGAATGATAATGGCTCTCAGCAAAATGGGTATGGAGTTTCTCAGTTGGAAATATATACAGTTTGTTCTTGGTTTTGGTTTTGGTTTTTGTTTGTGATGATCCCAAGCTGATAGTGGTCTTGAACAATCCTGCCTCTACTCTACAAGTGCCAGGATAGGTGTTCAACACCTTGCCAAACTTGTGGTATGTCTTATAATACTGTTTATCTCTGGGTGTGTGTACATACATGCAGTTACTATGGCACATGTGTGGAAGTCAGGACAATGTACAGATATTGGAAGGATATTCTTCCTTCTACTATATGGGTCCCAGGGATCAAACTTACATTGCAAGGTTTGGCAGCAAGTGCCTTTATGCACTAAGCTGTCTTGACTAGCCTAATATATATATTTTGGAATGTGATTGGGTGTATGGCCTACTTACATGTTTGAGTACTCTATGTGTGCCAAGTGCCCTCAGAGGCCAGAAGAAGGAATTGAATCTTCTGAAACTGGGATTAAAGGCATACACTATCACACTTCTTGCATTTTGAGATACTCTTTTGCTGTGTGACTTACCCTTGAACTTGTTCTAATACCAAGACTGGCCTTAGATTCTCAGGCTTCCTGCTGACATTAGAGATATGTGCAACCATGCAAAACAAGACTGGAGCTTCTTACAGTATACTCCAACAAATGAGCTCTATATCACACAAAAGATTGGTGGCAAAGTTCATGGGACATTGAAGGAGTGCAGGTGGCCAACCACCATGTATATAATGTGGTCCTCTCTCTGTTTTATCCTCTGCAGGCTATCAACCCAGGCAGGTCCCTGTTCTTGCTGTATGCCCTCAAGAGTTCCCCAAGGCTTGGCTTGCTGTACCTGTACTTGTTTGACTACACAGACTCCTTTCTACCCTTCATCCATACCATCTGCCCTCTTCAGGAAGGCAGCTCTGGGGAGGACATCCTCACCAAGCTTCTGGTAGGTACATAGTTCCTAGAAAGAGTAATTCTACCATATCACAATATTGTATAGAACTGGAGAGAGTACACTAGCCTTTGTGTGAATTTTGCAGGAAGAGTTTCCCAGAAGAAAAGAAAGACTGGTCCTCTCTTGGAAACCAGCTTCATTTTCTACACTACCCAACCAGAGTGATAGCCCTTTTAGTCTTGAAATCTTTTTCTTCCTTCCTTCCTTCCTTCCTTCCTTCCTTCCTTCCTTCCTTCCTTCCTTCCTTTCTTTTCTTTTCTTTTCTTTTCTTTTTTCTTTTTTTGTAAAAAGCATTGCTTTTGTTGCAAAAGAAGTCATTGTAAGTCCAGAACATCCTAAGAGATTAAATGTGTGGCCTTTCAAATTTGGGAAGGTCCTTAAAGGCTAGTAGTTAGCCTGCTACAGAGCAGGGTTTGGATCTTCCCTGAAGGCCTCACAGTAAGCCATGGCCCAGGATAACTGCTGGCATTGGCCAATTGTTTCTTCCATGCCATATGTTGCTCCCCAATTTCTGGGAGATTCCTTTTACTGGGACTGCTTCTCTGATTCTATGTGGTCATTTGAAATCATTTGCTTTGCTGCTGTTAGATTACTTTGTTAAATAATTTTGGTTTTTCGAGACAGGGTTTCTCCAGAGCCTGTCCTGGAACTCACTCTGTAGACTGGCCTGTGAGTTCAAGGCTGGCCTTGAACTCACAGAGGTCCTCCTGCCACTGCCTCCTGAGTGCTGGAATTACAGGCGTGCACCACCACTGTCCAGCTAGATTAATTCTTATAGTCTTTCTCAAAGTATCATGCATGTAGGAATTATGGTCTGTAACCCATACACATAAATGCTAAAACAGAATTTCCACATCTCCAAAGGCCTGCCTACTGATCTTGGTCTTGAGTGCTAAAGCAGGGTGTTCCTCTAATTACCCAATTTCCAGCTATTCCATGCCTGCTATACTGTGTACACAGAGGCTGTGACTTATTTCTATTTCCATAAGCACCAATAACCCCCGACTTTTTGTCTGTTAACACCAAATTAAAAGTGTAAGTACATGCTATCAAGAAATCTTCCTCCCTTCATTCCTTCCTTCCTCCTTTTTTCCTTCCTTCCTTCCTTCCTTCCTTCCTTTCTTCCTTCTTTCCTTCCTTTCTCTCTCTCTCTCTCTCTCTCTCTCTCTCTCTCTCTCGCTCGCTTTTCAAGGCAGAGTTTCTCTGTGCAGCCTTGGTGTCCTGGAACTCGCTCTATAGACCAGACTGGCCTTGAGCTCACAGAAACCCTGTGACTCTGGAATGCTGAGATGAAAGACCTTCGCCATCAATGTTCAGCTTCATACCTGGCTTTTATGAAGTATGGAAGATCCAAACTCTGGTTCTTGTACAGCATTTATCTTTAACTATTAACCTGTTTTTTTCTAGCCCCATCTTTATCTATTTTAAGATAGATTATTACATGGAAGATTGATATATTAATAGTCCATTTTAAGCCATGCACATGCTTTTAATCTTAGAGCTCTGGACTGAGGCAGGAAAAATGTGATTTCAAGGCCAACAAGTTGCTATCTGAAAAAGTAAAATTTAGATTATTAAAGCTCTCCCATTACCATCACTGTGGAAGTCAATCCTGTGATTGGGACTATTGTATTATTCTTCAAGGACCTGAGGGAGCCCACATGGAGGCAATGGAGAGAATTCCTTGTCAAGTACTCCTTTCTCCCATACCAGCTGATTGCAGAGTTTGCCTGGGACTGGCTGGAGGTCCACTACTGGACATCACGCTTCCTTATCGTCAATGCCATGCTGCTGTCTGTTCTGGAGTTGTTCTCTTTTTGGAAGATCTGGTCAAGAAGCGAGTTGAAGTAAGTACCTTTCTGTGGGAGATAGTGGGAGCAATGGGGCAGTAAAGAAATACCAATGAGGAAGTTCCTCTTTAAAGTAGCACCCATATTAGGTAGCCTACAATGTCCTGTAACTCCAGCCCCAGGGGATATGACATCCTTTTCTTGTACTGAATTCATGTGTAAAAACACATACATGGACACTATGCATATACATATAATTAAGTAAGTAAAATTAAGCCTTAAAAAAATCTGAGCTGGGTGTTGGTGTTACACGCCTTTAATTCCAATGCTAGGGAGGCAGAGGCAGGTGAATCTCTGTGAGTTTGAGGCCATCCTGGTCTACAAGAGAGAGTGCCAGGAAAGGCTTCAAAACTACACGGAGAAACCCTGTCTCAAAAACCAAACCAAAAAAAAAAAAAAAAAATCTGCCTAGATTCCTCAGACTTTGGTTTGAAAAATATTCCTTAAGCAGCAAATAAGAAAGTTACTTGTGTCTAGGAAGCAGACTGTATTGTGTGTAGTAGTTGGTTTTGTTCCTTGTTAGAGACAGGGTCTATATTAAACACTAACACACATAAAATTAAGTAATTAAAAAATGCCTGTGGTGCATTTTCTTGATAAGAATTATGTAGGCTATGCCATTCCTAGGAAAGTGGTCCTGGGTTGTAGTGGGATATTCACTTTGTTGCCTTCTGTGGCACTGACCATGCCCATTGGGGGGTGGAGGGGTAGGGAGAAAGTGACTGATGGAAATAGTTCTGAGGAGGAGTCGGGAACCGCTCTCTTGCAGGTGGGACGTGGAGAGGAGATCATCTGGTAGAACTTGCTGGTGTTCATTTGTCTAGGTTGTAAGTTATTTCTCCCTGAATAAACATCTATTCAGCCTATCTGTTTATCCTGATCCTTATTAAACCGCAATACTGGGTAGTATAAGAAAGCAATCTGCACAAGTTGTGGGGAGCAAGCCAATAAGCAGCACTTCTCTATGGCCTCTGCTTTAGTTCCTGCCCTGACTTCCCTGGATGATGGACTACAAACAGTAAGCTAAAATAAATCATTCCTTCATAAGTTGAATTTTTTTAATTAATTAATTTTATGTGTGTTAGTGTTTGCCTGCGTGTATGTCTGTGTGAGGCTATCAGATCTTGGAGTTGCAGACAGTTCGTAGCTGCCATGTGGGTGCTGGGAATTGAACGTGGGCCATTGGGAAGAACAGTTAGTGCTCTTAACTGTTGAGCCATCTCTCCAGACCCCTACAGGCCAATCATTTTTTTTTAATATTTATTTATTTATTATGTATACAGTATTCTATCTGAATGTATCCCTACAGGTCAGAAGAGGGAGCAGACCTCATTACAGATGGTTGTGAGCCACCATGTGGTTGCTGGGAATTGAACTCAGGACCTCTGGAATAGCAGTCAATGCTCTTAACCTCTGAGCCATCTCTCCAGCCCCCCCCCCCCTACAGGCCAATCTTAAAAAGACATTTTCTCAATTGTACCAAGTTGACAAAAAACTAGTTAGCACAGGGTTTTGCTATCACCTCAACCTGATTACCTCCTACCTCAGGGTTCTGAGTATCAGGGAATATAAGCATACACTATTATCTCCGACTCTTTATGTTCATTGGTTTTGTTTTGTTTAGTTTTTATGTTTTCATTTTTATGTATTTATTTCTTTATTTTGAGACAGGGTCCACTTCGTAGCTAGCTCTGTCTAGCCTGGAATTCATTATGTAGACCAAATTTCCAAAGATCCATCTGCCTCTGTTTCCCAAGGGCTAGGATTAAAGGTGTGTGCCACCAGGCCTGGCTCTTAGTGTTAATTGTTTCCATATTTAATAATAAACCAGATAATCTCTGGGGGAATGTTTAAAGAATTTTAATAATCAAGGGACAAGTGAAGGAAAAGCAGGTCATTTGTAAAAAAGGAGCAGTACAGTAATAGCTTCCCTGGAATAATGTAGGATACTAGCATTGGGCTACCACATCTTTGAATAGATCACTTGGTGACAAGTGGCAGGAACCTACCTAATTGAACTTACTACAAAGGAAATGCCCACCTAGAGTAGAAAGCATGTTTGGAACCAGAGACCCAAATACTCTTCTCAGGGCTGCCTGGCTCAGGACCCCCTTGATTGCAGGCTGCCCTTCCCTGTGCTACTCAGCTCTTATTGCCATCGTGACCTATGGCTGCCCCAAAGCTTTCCTAGTAATGCCAGGAAAAAGCAGGCACTTCTCTTCCCATCACACTTGAAACAAGCCTTTACTCTGGTTAGTCCAGCTTGAGTCATGTGCCCACTCAGCAGGAGTGTGCTGAACTTTCATGGCCAAGTCAGACCACATGGGGAAAGTGTGGGAGGGAAGGGCTGGAAGTATAGCTCAGTCATAGAGTACATGTTCACATCCCCCAGATAGACAAGGCAGGCAACTCCAAAGTAATTCAAGCTGTTTCAAGAAGACAGTTACAGGCAGACAGGCCACCACATAGTTTCATATTGGTTCCTGGCCTTGTAAATAGTTATAAATCTCTCATGTGTCATTTATTCACTTATTCATTTAGAGAATATTAATCCCAAGTACTTGTGCTTTATCCCTGCCTATATTTTATCCCCAGCACAGGATATTGGTGGTACATGCCTGAAGATCCCAGCCTTCAGGAGGCAAAGACAGAAAAATGAGAAGTACAAGGTCATCCTCAGCTACATAGCAAGTTTGAGCCCAGCCTGAGTTTTATGAGACTTTGTGTCAGAAATAAAAAAGTACCACAAAGCAGGTAGAGGCTGTGTCAGCGTGCCCAGAGAACATCCATAGGGAGCATGTACTAGGGTGAGGCAGAGGTACTTCCACAAGCGTGTGAACAGTTAACAGGGGCAGATCCTCACTGCCCCAGCACATCCAAGCGCACCCACCCCCAACCAATCTTCTTCTTTTTTTTTTTTTTTCAGGACAGTGCCCCAGAGGATGTGGAGCCATTTTTGGAAAGTGTCTACGCAGGGTCTATTCATGGCCATGTTCTGGCCACTCATTCCGCAGTTTGTCTGCAACTGTTTGTTTTACTGGGCTCTGTACTTCAACCCAATTATTAACATTGATCTGGTGGTCAAAGAAGTCCGGCGACTGGAAACCCAAGTGTTATAATCAGCCGCAAAGTCCAGGAGAGCCCTTGAATCTCCTTGATGTCCAAACTGTTGCATTCAAAAGGCAAGCGACTCATTTCTACCCCTGGTAAAGCAAGGTGCTGCTTCTACGAGTCAAGGCTTCAACCAGGTCCCCTCTTCCCCTGTCTCAAAAACAAAAACAAAGAAGGCCACCATGGTCAGTAGCCTTAATCTCATGGACTGACAAGGCTCCCCAAACCAGGCTTATTGAGGTCAGCCCTGTCCTATGGGTCAAGTTCAGGAAAACAAGGATAGGATTTGGTCATAGACATAGGTAGTTTCATACACAAAATACAGAGAAAAGCCCAGAATTCAATCACAATTTCTTATTGAGTAGTTGGTAGATTTCAGGGTAAAGCCAGCTTCAGGCTGAGTGAAGATGGTCAGCTATCTTATTTCCTGTTTTGATTATTGGAAATACAGCTGTCCTTCCTGTGACCAGGAAGCTGAATGAGATTCCCATCAGGCTGAGACAGTCAGGTGACTGAGGGCACTGTTCGAGTTTCGCTTTGAGAATTTAATCTGCAGGATAAATCCAGTATAGTCTATTCAAGGAAATAATATGTAAGCTGCTCTCATACTGTATAATGTATAATCTTTATTGTCCTGTTCTGGAGTGTAGCAGCAGGTATAATTATGCCAAGTGCTGCGATCATAAATATGGAGTAAGCTGAAGAGTGACCTTTATTTCCTGCTGCACAGCAGATGTAGAGTGTGAGCTCATCAGCCTTGGCCTTGTAGAAACAAGCTTACATCCAAAGAGAGAGAAAGTGTGTGTGTGTTGGAGGGGGGGTGGTAATTCATTAACCCTTTAAGGTTTCACTTAAACTTTGCATTTGAAAGTTTGGAAAAATTACTTGAAATAAAAATTAAAGGTTTTTATACAAATGAAATTTCTGTAGAGAACTCTAATTGCTGAAGAAATACAAAGAAATCCAGCATTGAGCGGATTGTTGAGCCAGGATTGGGCTTAGTGATCTCTCCAGAGAAGGAAAAGTGTTCTCTCTCAGTTTTCTCATGGAGCCTCAGGGCCACCTGATTTTGTCTACATGAGACAATGACTCAGTGGTTCAGGCACATGCTGTAGTATTTGTGTATTCCTGGACATAACCATGGAGATTGCTTCCTGCTTTCCTTTACCATGATTAATTAGGGATTGGCTAACAAAGGTTATTGCACCCAGTGGCTGTCCTAGGTTCAGTAGTGCCCAGGGTAGACCACAAGTAGGCAGCCTTCTAGTATCCCATTCCCAACTGTGGTCTTCCACACTGACCCCACATGTACCAACACCATACTTCAAAGATGAGTAGTGCCCAGATCTGCTCTGGGAAAAGAGGAGATGTGACCTACAGCAACCAGATGGGCTGGTGCTCTAATTTCCATTAGAGTGGGCATCCAAGACCACAGATTTGCTCTAATCCTTGCATCACTCTACCCTTCCAGGAAGGTTTGGGGCCATAAAAAAGGAGGTGTCCATATGAAACATTCAGACCTCTCCAAATCTGAGTCTTATGTAACACAGGCTTGTAGTGAGATAGTCCTTCTGTAGCACTGACCACGCCCATTGGGGGGTGGAGCGATGGGCGGAGGTGACCTGAGGAAGGAGGTCAGAGGGGGCCAGGAAGGCGCTCTCTTTCTGGCGTGACTCGGACAGGAGAGGATCGGGTTGAATTTCCTGGTGTTCATCTGTCTAGGTTGTAAGTTATTTCTCCCTGAATAAACATCTATTCGGCCTATTTGTTTATCCTGATCCTTATTTACCGCAATACAGGCTTCCTTAGACTGGTTATATAGCCCAAGATGATTTTAAGCTTTTGATCCTTGGATCTCTGGAATTCTGGAGTTACAGATGCATGCAACCACACCCACTTTTATATGGTGGTAGTAATAGAACTCTGGGCTTTATTCATTAAGGCAAGCACTCTACTAACATAGCAACATCCTGAGAAACAATTGACAGAAGTGGGAAATGCCTCTGGTATCCAAAAGTTGGAAGTGCTAAAGCTGGAACCCTGGACTTTATTTGTGGTTAGGCAAATATTCTGTCACAGAACCACACCCCCAGCCTAATACTGCTTTTCAAGAGGCATTAATTTAATAATAGAAAAGAATGGAAATAATAGGGTATAGTCTCAACTATATCTTTTAAAACTAGAAAAGCATTGTGTACACACACACACACACACACACAACATACATATTTAAAGGGGATTTATTAGAATGATTTACAGGCTGTGGTCCAGCTAATCTAACAATGGTTGGCTGTGAATGGAAAGTCCAAGAATCCAGTAGTTGTTCAGTCTAACTGGGTGAGCTGGAATCCTAAAGAAATAGGCTCTAATGCCAGTGAAGGAATAGACTTGATAGGAAATCAAGGGCAAGCAAAGCTTACAGCAGAAGGCCAGACCCAAATTAAAGGTGTGTCTTTCCACCCCAAGATCCCAAGGGATGTCACCTTTGAGGTGTCTTCCTATCTCAAAGATCTGGATTAGAAGTGGACTACCTACTTCAAATTAAGCAAAAATTCCTCATAGATGTAGAATTTTGGATTTTAGTTATCAGAAGACGACCAAGAATGACCATCATAAATCTACCCCATGCTAACTTGACACAATATGTCCTTAGGGCATAAATACTTAACAAATGAAAACAGTAACAGGTCATAATGACACCTAATATAACTGCATACAATTAACAAATGCATTATGTATTTAAGCAGTCATAATTATACCTAACATAACTATCACTCATACCATCACACACACAAAAACAGAATAGTGGCAGTGTCCCTTGAGGGAAATTCTTTTAGTATCTCAAACTTAAATATGATAACCATTGATATTCTCTTAATTGATGTTACATAAAGAAATTGAGGAAATAAAACGTGAGCATCTATATAAATGCATTATTAACAAAATAAAACAGGAACACTCATGTCAAAAATCTCATTTCTGTATCTGGTCACATAGCCTTGGCTGGCATTTATAACTATCTTTCTCTACTACATGTTCTGCACCCCTGGCAAGAACTTCACCAAGTCTTGGTTCTTTTTCTGGAGGACTGACCCATACCTTCATCCCTGATAGGTCTATACCCTTTGTCACCTGAATTAGGCTGCCTGGATTAGGCTGTTGTAGTTTCCTGTTGACTTTAGTCAAAGGACATGGTAGCACCATGAAACACCCTGAAGGATCACCTGTACTCCTATCTTTCTTACCTCCTTTGTGGAGAAGCAATCTAGTTTCCTCATGGAAATCTAGATCAATCACCCTTCCTAACACTGTTATTCTTTCTTAGCCTGTTGGTTTAGGGGCATTAGAAGCCCAAAGTGGCCAGGGGAAAGTCTAAGCTTCCAGCTCAATGAAATACTTGTGGCTCTTGGAGAATTACTCCCTCTAGAATCAACAGAACTTAGATCACAGGAACAGGAAGCAAAAATTTTCCTAGCATGTCAATAGAGGTGATAGTGAATGGAACTATTGCCTTTTCCACCCCCTGATTCTTGTGGATCCTGACTGTGGGAGAAAGCATACCATATATTGGACAGTGATTCAAAGAATGTACCACCTAATGGAAAACCCTGCCCCAACCTTCCAGGCTTCTACCTCCTACATGGTGCTATTATTGTGTCTTCCAAAGGATATCCCATTGTTTTTAATCAGGCCAGCTGCTTCTGGATGATGGGGAACATGGTAAGACCAGTAGATTGAATGATCATGAATGCACTATTGTAATTGTTTTTCAGTGAAGTGAGGTCTTTGGTCAGAAGCAATACTATATGGAATCTTCTAAGTAGGGGTTTTGACAGAAAGGCAAATCCATAACCAGAATAAGTATCTACTCTAGTAAGGACAAAGAATTATCCTTCCTACTGAAGAAGTGGTCCACTATAGTCAATCAATCTGCCACCAGGTTTTCCTAGCTGGTCACCTTGGGGAATGGTGCCTTATATGGAATCTGGCACTCAGTGGCTTCAACCAGGTCAGCTTTGGTAAGTCTATGTTATTGAGCTCAGTATAACCCTGATCTCTGCCACCATGGCCACTTTGTTTATGGGCCCAATGGGCATTGACAAGAATGGCTAGGAAAAGAGGCTGACTGTCCACAGAACAAGTCATCCTGTCTACTTTACTCCTCAATTAAAATCACTTTTTGATGAGCAATTATATGGGACATAAGTATCTTCACATCATTGGCTCATTTGGAGAGATCTATCCACATATTTCTTCCCCAAGTGTCTTCTTTACCAATTTTTCAATCACGTTCTTTCTAAGTTCCTGACCATCCCATCCAGTCCATGACCATGTGTACTGTCTGACATTTTGCACACAGTGAAGATTTCCCTTCAACAGTGTCTTTCAGCATTTTCCCAGAAAGGGATTGTAATGATGTCCACTTCTGAGTGCTACCTGCATAACATGCAGAACCATCAGTAACCTAGTCTTGTTTTCTCATTCACCCAATCATAAGCTATACCCCATGAGGCTGTAGGTGCACACAATACAACAGCATTGTAACAGAAGAAACCATAGGAATTTAAATGGGTAACTTCTTCATGTAACTTGATTGTGCTTTTTTTGTTTTGTTTTATTTTGTTTTTGATTTTTGAGACAGGGTGTCTTAGGGCTTCTCTGTAATAGCCCTGGCTGTCCTGAAACTCCTCAAACTCAGAGATCTGCTGCCTCTGCCTTCCGAGTACTGGGATTAAAGACATGTGTCACTACCACCCGGTCACTTGCTTGTGTTTTAAGACCTGCTGCATCCCAATCACATAAATACCACTTCCATTTGGTAATAGATTGCTGATGTTCACATTCCACTTTATGACTGGGTGGGTCAGATAATACCCAGCTTATGATAGGCAGGCAGTTTAAGTCACATGGTAACTTGGTGGCCCATTGTCAACGTCAATTTCCAATAAGGCCCAATGGCAGGCCAAGGGCTGACTTTCAAAAGGAGAATAGTTGTCTGCAGAGGCTCCAAATAGCATCCTTATCTGCCACTGACACCTCTAGTAACATCTGCTGGATGATATGATCTGAGTGGTAGAGAAGCTGGGACCTTTTGAAGAGCCTTCTTCTGTCCCAGGACACCCCACCCCCATTCTCAACACACACGCACACACAAAGCTAGCAGCTTTCCTAGTCACTTGGTACATGGGCCAGTGTAACACACCCAAGTGAGGAATGTGCTGTCTCCAGAATCCAAATAGGCCCACTAACTTTTGTGCTTCTTTCTTGGTGGTGGGAAAAGCCAAGTGCAATAACTTATCCTTCACCTTATAAGGAATATCTGCATGCCCCACACCACTGGACTCCTAAGAATTTCACTAAGGCCCTTGACGTTTGGTTGGATTTACTCCCCATATGTGTTACCAATGAATTCAAAGCCACCTCCTGTTCACTTGGTCCAATCAGCATAATGTCCTCAAGATGGTGCACCAGGTGATGCTTAGTAAAGATCCCTTCTAAGTTATGACACAGGGCTGGAGAGTTAATATATTCTTGAGATAAAACTGTAAAGGTAAACTGCTGGCCTTGCCAACTGAAAGGAAATCCTTATGGGCAGATACACAGAAACAGGCATTTACTAAATTAGTATGTACCAAGGTATGTGTTAATCTGTTCAAGTAAGGACACCACATCTGGTACAGCAGCTGAAATTGGAGTCACTACTTGACTGAGTTTCAATAGTAAATGGTTACTCTTCACAATGCATTTGTCTTCTGCACTGGCCACAGAAAAGAGTTAAAGAGAGACATGGTGGGAATCACCACCCCTGCATCTTTTAAGTCCTTGATGGTGGCACTAAGTTTCATAATTCTCTTTTGTTTGTTAGTTTTTTTGTTTTTCGAGACAGGGTTTCTCTGTATTGTTTTGGAGCCTGTCCTGAAACTAGCTCTGTAGACGAGGCTGGCCTTGAACTCACAGAGATTTGCCTGCCTCTGCCTGGTAAGGACTGGGATTAAAGGTATGTGCTCCCAATGCTCAGCTTATTGGTTTGTTTTTTAAGACAAGGTTTCTCTGTGTAACAATCTTGGCTTTCCTGGAACTCACTTTGTAGACCAAACTGACCTCAGACACACAGAGATACACCTGCCTCTGTCTCTGGAGTGTTGGGATCACTGCTACCACAACTGGCTTAATTTTTGTAACTCTTTTATAGAAGTGATACTGTCTTTAATTCACTATTTTCTCTAATAGAGGCAACTCCATTGGTTTTCACTGGCCTTTCCAACCATTATAGCACTTGCTTTTCATGTCAGGGAACCAGTGTGAGAATTCTGCCAACTTTATATCTATTCCCATTATACATCCTGGGACTGGGGAAATAACCACAGGGTGTGTTTGGGGACCCACTAGACCTACTGTGAGTCAGACTTCAGCCAAAACTGTTTATCACCTGACCTCCATAAAGCCACAATGTTTCTTGGAATCTCCCAGAATCATTGTTAATTCAGAATCGTATTCAATCATTCCCAAAAAGTTTGATTTTTTTTTTCTTTCCTCCACTATACAGTTACCTTCATGAAAGGCCGTAGATCCCTTTAGGGGAAGGACTGGAGAAATGCAAACAGTAAAACTTTTAGGTATTTTTTCAAGGTCCTTCCTTGGGGCAACCTGGCCAGCCCTTCTTCATTCAAGAGATTCTGGGTCTAAATACTGGGTAAAATCTGGAAATAGATTCACAGGCTGAGATTCCCTTTTGCCATTATCCAATATATAACCTTCCCTTTGTTTGAGAATTTTTCTGCTTATACAAAAATTAAGTGGTTTCTTATGTGTTTCATGCCTGACAACACTGTTGTAGTGGCATCTTGCTTTGCCAGTGAACTTGTAGTAGTGGCTGCACCCTTTGAACATGGTTTCAGATGCAGACATGATTGATTAAGCTAGAGGAGGGGCTGTCTGGTGCTCTCTTGGGTTTCAGAGAGCATTGGAGGAGCAGAGACAGCATCTTCTGAAGCAGGAAGACCACATGATTATTTATTCTTATATATGTAAATCCTTCCATAATAAATACCTATTTATCATTTATCTTGGGTCTGGTGAACCCATTTTAAATCCCCATCTTCAATTGGCATCCAATATGGGACTCAAACCCCCAACCCTGAGATTAAGAGTCTCACTCTCTACCAGCTGAGCAAGATGCCACTACACACCATGCCTGATTAGTCAATACCAAAGGTACATACGAGTCATGCCACCATAAAATTCACTTTGCCTGTGCTGGCCATTACAAGTCAGGCCATTATGGACATTGTTTTGTCTGTGCTGCCCATCATGATGACTATGATCATCTTGCCTTAGGCAATTCAGTCCTGCCACCTGGCCCCTGCTACCACAGGGCCTAATTAAACCCATTGCATTTAATTCATCCAACTGAGCAGCAGCATCTCCAACCCTAAAGTTTGGCACAAGGAAAAGGAGGACAACAAAGCTCTTCAAATGTGCTGGTGCCCTCTCAGTTTGTATCTTATAGATTAGTGAAGGGTATTCTTCTGAGCCTTCACATAGCACTGCAACTTCCCTGAGCCTTAAAATCCCTTCACCAACCCTAAAACAAGAGATATCAGACATCTCCAACTCCTTTTCAGTGGGCCAACTCTTTTGCTTTAGCCCACAATTCAAACAGACTTTTAACACCTTTTTGTTTTTTCTTGTTTTTGGTTTTTTGAGACAGTTTCTCTATATAGCCCTGGCTGTCTTGGAAACTCACTCTGTAGACCAAGGTGGCCTTGAACTCAGAGATCACCTGCCTTTACCTCCCAAGGGCTGGGAGTAAAGGTATATGTCACCACTGCCTGGCCTTACACTGATTTTTAACTATTCGAACTTCTGTAGTAAACCTAAAGTCTCTACTCAAAGTGCACTTATCAGTAAACTTGGTCTGTGCCAGTTTTGTGTTCCTTCCACCATTCTCCCTCACCCTTAAAATCCATGCCCACATATTCCCCCAGACTTGTGAAAATTCACTAAGTTCCTTAGTGGTATAGTATACCTCCACATGGACTATCCTTTGTATGTCCTCTCCAAGAGCCTGCTTTGGTCTTAAGTCTGCTTTGTGTTAGTCAGGGTTCTCTAGAAGAACAGAACTCCATATATAGAAGAAGGATTTATTAGAATGTCTTACAGGCTGTGGTCCAGCTAATCCGACAATGACTGCCTGCCTATATGTATGGAAGGTCATAGAATCCAGCAGTTCCTCAGTCTACAAGGCTGGATGTCTCAGCTAGTCTTCAACATACACTGGAATCCCAAAGAAGTAGGCTCTAACATCCTTAGAGAAAGGGAGAGTAAGCAGGCAGAGAGCAAAAGCTTCCTTCTTTCATTTTAAAGCTTTTTTTTTTTTTTTTTTTTTTTTTGGTTTTTTCAAGGCAGGGTTTCTCTATGTAGCTTTGGAGTCTATCCTGGATCGGATCTTGCTTTGTAGACCACTCACAGAGACCCACCTGCCTTTGCCTCCCAAGTGCTGGGATTAAAGGCATCTGCCACCACTGCCCAGTACATTCCAAAACTTTGGGATGCTTTGTCTTTTAAAAGGATTTATTTTAATTGTGGTGTGTGTGTGTGTGTGTGTGTGTGTGTGTGTGTGTGTGTGTGTGTGTGTGTGTGTTTGAATGTGCATGTGAGGGCAGGTACCTGAAGAGGCCAAGTGTGTCAGATTCTCTGAAGCCAGAGTCAAAACAATATGCATTCTGAGAAATGAACTCGGGTCCTCTAAAAGAGCAGAAAGCACTGTTAACCACTGAGCCATTCTTCTGACCTGTGGTTTCACTTTTTTGTACTCTATTTATTGCTCTACATTTTCTTTTCTTACAATTTTTTTCTTGAGGTGTTGGAAATCAAACTTAAAACATCAGGCATGCTACACAAACACTTTAACACACAGTTTTATCACCAGCCCAGAAAATAGTTTTTTTTTTTTTTTAATGCAAGGGCTTCTGTCTTACCCAGGCTCCTGGATTCAGGTGACCTTTCAGCCTTAGTCTCCCAGCAGAATACTGCATGTGTGTGCCACCACACCCAGTTTTCAGGAAATAAATTTTACTTGTTAAAGATGGAGAAAGGTAGGGGATGTTTTTATTACAGTAACAGTTCCTCAGTGTATCATGCAGCAATCTTATTACCACAGTCTACAAGCAGGAACTCATCCCCAGTGAACCACCAGCAGGTTAGAAGATAGCACAGCTTCAGAGCTGACACTAGTCCAACACAGTGGTAGTTGGAGAAAACTGGCCCAGAACTCTCAGCTTTCATCAACCTAGCAATTACACAGGCTCACAGGCCCCAGTTCCTGAACAGAGGGACAAAGCAAACACAAGGTTTTATCGCTTGGCATATACTACCTCCTGCAGAAATTGAATGCTGTTGTTCTTTACTGAAATCAAACTTCATTTCCTTGGGCAAATGGACATTTTAAGACCAGCCTATCAGTGGCACTTGGGTGAGTCCTTTTCACATAAAACCGAGGGGTAGAAGAGGTATTTCAGGTGGTACTCTGTCCCTGCAAGGCAGTATGCAAGCTCCTTATCACACTTGCACAGGAATTCTTGACATTTGTTCTCTGTGGGTCCTGGAAGAAGGGAAACTGAGGTTAGAGCAGAGACTTACAGATACTGAGAATAAATCCCAGGGAAGTCAGTAAATCTGGAGGCAGAACATGTTATAATTTGCACTTATGTGACACATGGATAAGACTGCTCTAAGAAGCAGCAATGACAGCCAGCTTATACAAGAAAGTGACTTAGCTTGTCAAATGAATGAGCTTCTGGCTTCTCTTCTGTGTCAATACTATTCTGTTTCACTTTAGGAATCCATTGAAATAAGACTGGGTGCCTGGCAACTATCAGGCCTACCTAGGTTTGCAGTTCTTGCCTTAGTCCTGTGACCTTGTCTAAACTTTATATCAGGAGCACTGCTGAGGGCAAGTACTTGCCTAGCTTGAATGAAACCCTAGATTCTGTTCCTGCCACCACCCCCCCAAAAAAGTAAGCAAACAGAATGAGATCATTCTCCACTTTGTATGACTATTACACATCCAGTGTGAGATAGGCCACACAGTGCCATCCCAGGGCTGGGGATGCCCTGAGCTGCCAGCATGATTGCTTAGCATGCCAACACTCTAGGTTCTATCTCCAGCATCAAAACTGACACTCATGTTATCCCAGCACTTGGGTGGTGGAAGCAGGATCTGAAAGTCAAGGTGATCCTTGACTACCTAACAAATTTGAAGCCAGCTGAAGCTGCATGAGACCAGGACTCAATAAAAGTTTGGGCTGGAGAGATGGCTCTTGCTGTTCTTCTAAAGGACCCAAGTAAGTTCCCAGAACCCATGTCAGATGGCTTGCAACTTTCTGTGAATCCAACTGCAGGGGATCTTGCCACCTTGGTACATGAACCCATGTGGCATACATTCACACAAGCAAACACACATACACATAAAAGGAATAAAATTAAAATGAAGTGTCTATTAGAGGCTTGGCAATGAATATGTACTCAAGCTCTATTGACTCCCAACTCTGCTCTCTGTCTCCTTTCTCCAGTCCTCCTGAAGACTAGGACCAAACATTTGCTTAGCATGCAAGAGACCCTGGGTTTGATTCCCAGGACCACCAAAAGAGTGAAGGAAGGAACTATATGGCCCTGATTGACTTCCAACTCACTATGTAGCTGAAACTGACTTCAAATTCAAAGCAAACATTCTGCCTCAGCTTCCCAAGTCCTGGGATTACAGGTATGTACCACCATGCCTCACTTCATGTGCATTTAATTATGCACATAAAAAGGCATGATAAAGTATACCTGTAATTCCAGCATGTGGAAGGTGGATCAAAGAAGGAGGATCAGGAATTGAAGGTCATCCTTAGCTACATAGTGAGACCAACCTGAGTTACGTGAAGAATTGCCTCCAAGAAGATGTTGGGACTCCAGTTTGAAGGTATTGAAAACCCTTTTCTGACTTCCCCAGGCATATACACTCACATGCAGATACTCACACACATAATAAATTTATCTTTTAGTTGGGTGTGGTAGCATATGCCTTTGATTCCAGGACTTGGGAGGCAGAGGCAGGTGGATCACTGTGAGTTTAAAGCCAGCCTAATCTACGGGGCCAACATAACAAGTTCCAGGCCAGGTAGGACTATACAGTGGGACCCTGTCTCAATAAAATATTTTTATCATGTTATCCCTTACAACAAGTAATCTGGTCCCCTCCTGGTGCATAACAACTCCAGGGGGTCATTGACACAACAATTGTAAACACTCCATTACACAGTATGCAAATGCTTATAATTACCGTGGTCTTTGCAGCCAGGTTGTTATCATTTGAAAGAAATTAGCACCATTAAAGAGTGTCAGGTGCTGGAGTTGCAGAGGTGGCTTTTTGGTTAAAAATGTGCACTGACTACATCTACAGGGGACCCAAACCTGACCTCCAGCTCCACATCAAAAGAAAGGTCAGGAAGCCAGAAAGGGTGGGGTAGGGTCATCATTTCTGTAAGCAGCTCTGAAGGTAATTTGTAAAGCTGCAAGGAAGCTGCAGTGGAGACCATGCCTTTACCGAGGAAAGCTGTAGACAAGAGTGGATCACACAAGTGGGCTGTAAATAAAAAGGTAGGTAAATAAAAAGGAAAGAGCTACCAAGCTTGTCAGAGCTCACAGTAAGGCACCATGTGCTAACAGGGCTGGATAAAACACTACAGACGTTTATGTTCATACAATGTAGTGGCTCACATCTTTAATCCCAGCATTTGGGAGGCAGAGGCAGGTAGATCTCTATGAGTTCAAGGCCAGCCTAGTCTACAGAGTGAGTTCCAGGAGAGTTAGGGATGCATAGAGACATTGTCAAAAAAAAAAAAAAAAAAAGTACTCCCATGATGCACTGCTGTGTCTCTATGTTGCTTCTGTCTGACCTGGAAGCTTGTTGTGAAAGGAAAAACAAAACAAAACAAAAACAAAACAAACAACCCCCTCACTCCCCCCCAAAAAAGGGAAGCAAGCCAGGGGAAGCAAGCCAGTAAACAGCACTCCTCCATGGCCTCTGCATCAGCTCCTGCCTCCAGGTTTTTGACCTGTTTTAGTGCCTGCCCTGGCTTCCTTCTGTGATGAAGTGATGTGGTAATGTAAGCCAAATAAACCCTTTCCTCCCCAAGTGGTTTGGGTCATAATATTTCAACATAACAATAGTAGTAACTTTAATTTAGATAGCTTGGAGATGGCTCAGTGGTTAAGAGCTCTGAATGCTCTTCTGAACATCCTGAGTTCAATTTTCAGCAACCACATGGTGGCTCACAGCCATCTGTAATGTATCCGGTGCCCTCTTCTGGTCTGCAGGCACATATGGAGGCAGAACACTACACACTAAATAAATACCCACCCCCTCACCCCCCAGACAGGTTTTCTTTGTGTAGCTTTGTAGACCAGGCTGGCCTCGAACTCACAGAGATCCTCCTGCCTCTGCCTCCTCACTCCCCAGTGCTGGGATTAAGGTATGTAGATATGGGCTACCACTACCCAGATAAATAAATAAATTAAAAAAAATCAGTGATTAAGAGCACTGGCTGTTTTTTCTAGCAGACCTGAGTTCAACTCTCAGCACCCACATGGCAGCTCACAACTCCAGTTCCAGGGGATCAGACAACCTCACACAGACATACTTACAGGTTACAGGCATGGGAAAAAAAAAAAGACCGTTTATAAACCAGGTTGTGGTGGTATATGCCTTTAATCTCAGCATTTGGGAGGCAGAGGCTGGGATTAAAGGAGTGTGCCATCACTGCCCAGCCTAAATCTTTCTTTTTTAAAGCATCTGGGGGCTAGTAAGAAGGCTCTATGGGTAGAGATGCTTGCTGCCAAGCCTGGCAACCTGAGTTCGATCCCTAGGACTCACATGGTGGAAGAGGAGAACTGACTCCTGCAAGTTGTCCTCTGACTACACACACTATGGCATGTGTACTCATATACACAGGACAGAGAAAGGGAGGGACAGACAAGACAGAATAAACTAGATTCCTACATTATTTCCAGTGTTCATACAAACCCACAACTAGTTTTTTCCAAGTTTCTCATTTTAAAATTGTTTTATTATATTTCTAATTTGTTTTTTGTGTTTATGTATATGTATCACAGAGGGATTATGGAGGTCAGGGGGCAGTTTACAGAAATCAGTTTTCTTTCACTATGTGGGTCCTGGGGATTGAACCCAAGTTGTCAGGCACATTTAACCACTAATACACCTTGACAGACCACAACAATGTTTTATTATTCCCATTTTACTGACTAGAAAAATGAGGCTCAAAGGAATTACTTAGCCAAAGTTACAAAGCTGGGAAGGAGTCACCCAGGATTCCAACCTAAGAAAGGTCTTTTCCCTGGGCAAGAAAGGCCTTCAGCAGTAAGATAGGCTCATTGCTCTGTAGCCTGAACTCCAGGGGAAATCTCACTGTTGAAAGAATAAAAATTCAAGAACAAGGCCACTGGTAACCCCTTGTAATCCCAGCAATCCAGAGGCTGAGAAGTTTGGAAAGTTCAAGGCCAGTCAAGGCCAGGAAAACTAGCTCCCATGGTTTAGATTTAAAGCTTGATCCAGGCAGTAGTGGTGCACATTTACCTCTCCAGCAGTGGAGAGGTAAAGGCACAGGGTCTCTACTGGTCTACAGATTGAGTTCCAGGACAAACAAGACTACACAGAAAAACCCTGTTTTTGAAAAACCAAAAAAAAAAAAAATTAATTCAAGCCTGCTAGTAAATATTATTATAGACAGAAAAATTTTAAATATCTTTGTCAGGGCCATAAATGGAAAATAGGCCAAACTCGTAATTAAATAAACAACTATGTTCAGAATATCTCTAAACAGAATAACAGAATATTTTTGTTGAAAATGCATGACAGACACTTTGGATTTTTCTGTGTGGCTCAGGGAAAAGAGCTCTGAAAACAAACAGACTCCAACAGCAAACATAGCGGTAAACATTCCATGGACACCATTCCCACATGGGTGTAACTGAGGAGAACATGCAAATTGAAGGGAAGGGTGAGAAAGCTATAAGATCTATTTCTTCACAAAATCTTACTTCACCTCTTTGCCCATGCTAGTAGTTCAGGGACAAGTCACTTCTTACCCCTGGGCTTCAGTTTCCTCAACACAAATTAAACAGGATATAGTTCAGTTGGAGGACAGTGCTTGCCTTGCATATACAAGACATGTAAAAATGATGTAACATTTCCACAATGATTCAGCTTTATTCTTTAAAACAATTATTTTAGAGCTGGAGAAATGGCTCAGAGCATTGGCTGCTCTTCTAGAGGTCCTGAGTTCAATTCCCAGCAACTACATGGTAGCTCACAACTATCTATAGTGGGATCTGATGCCCTCTTCTGTCATATAGGCATACGTGCAAGTAGAGTACTCACATATATAAACATATAAATCTTTAAGGTTTTCTTTTACATTTATTTTGGTTTTGAAGGGATCATTTTCTTTGGTGGGGATGGGTGAGGGGTGGATTCACTATAGCACACTTTGGTTTTTCATTCTGCTACTATGTCGAACCCATGCATCAAGTTGAGGTCATCAGGCTTGGCAGCAAGCACCTTTACCCACTGAGCCCTCTAGTCCATCCCAACTGTATACTACTAGTTCTGCCTTCTTTCTAGGGAGACAGGGCCAAGAGCAGTGAGTGTTAAACCCACCCTCCCATTATGTTCCTTTTTGCCCCCAGAGCAGTGTCTAGAAGCTGGGGTTTTAGTGGGGAGTCAGAAGGAGGGACAGGAAGAGGGAAAACACACACACACACACACACACACACACACACACACACACACACACGTACATTCTGAACACTTTTTTTACCTCTGCAACACTGAACTTTTCAGGTAAGGAAACTGCAGCTCAGATAAGTTGTCAACAGCTCAGTGTGATGCAGCTATCACCCATCCGGTCAAGTGATTTTCAACAAAGGTACTGATGTTATCCAAGAGAGGAAGAATGCCTTTTCAGCAAACGGTGCTGAGACAGTTATATCACAGTATGGCAAAGAATGAAGTCAGACCTACTCTACTGTTTGTATGAAAGTTAACTCCAAGTGGATCACTGCCATCAATCTCAAACTATTAGAAGGAAACAGACGGGCAAAACTTTGTTGTGCTGTGTTTCTCAATGGATTCTTAAAGCATCAAATCCATGGGCAACAAGAAAATAGATGACCAGGATGTCAACTAAAAGGAAAACATTTGTACCAAGGATGTTATCATGAAAAGGAGGACAACCCACAAAATAGAAGCTGCAGCCACAAGAAGGGTTGAGAATTTAAAACATAAAACAAAAAACAACAGCAAAAAAGACAATCCTATTGAAAGAGGCTCAGTAAGGAAAATGCTGAAATGGCCACTTCATTTGGGGGAAGATTTTTATTGTGGATAAGAGAAAGACAATGTCCAGAGGCATCTGGAATAAGAGTCCAGACAGAGAGTTTAAAAAAAAAAAAAAAGCCCAAAACACTGACATGGCCAGAGCTATCTGCAATGAAGGTGAGCGAGTGGGGGAGAAAAATGGAGGTAGCAAAAGAGATAACAGTAAAGAATAGGGAAAGGAGAGAGGGCTGGAGAGATGGCTCAGAGGTTAAGAATACTGGCTGCTCTTCCAAACATCCTGGGTTAAATTCCCAACAACCACATGGTGGCTTAAAACCATCTATAATGAGTTCTGGTGCCTTCTTCTGCCCTGCAGGCACACATGCAGGCAGAACACTATACATAATAAATAAATCTTTAACAAAAAAAAAAAAAAAAAAAAAAAAAAAAAAAAAGAAAGAAAGAAAGAAAGAAAGAAAAAGAAAAGGAGAGAGAATGGTGGGATATAAGGAGGATAAGCAGCTGCTAGGAGGGAACCCTGTACACATTGGAGCAGGCCTGAGAGTTTAGGATAGGAGAAGAGGTGAGAAGGTCCAGGGTTCTAGGTGGGGCGTTGAGATGTTTAGACTAGGGACTTTTACCATGGGCTTTAATATGCTCATAGCTACCATAAATTTATGTCAGTGGAGAGTCATATATACCTTTTGTCAGAGGCAAGGGAAGTGACTAATTTTGGTGGACAGAAAACCTGTTTTACGAGTTCCTGAGGAATGCTGGCTTTTATCTAACCACCTGAAATCCTCCTATGGTTCAGCTTGAGGTGGGTGGGCAAAGTCTGATATTTCTGGACACATGGACTGTCTGAGACCTGTATGAAATCCTCAAATGAGCATGTCTCCAAATGATACAAAAACAGCCAAGAAGCACATTAAAACACAGTGTTGATGTTTTATTAGAAAAAAAGCAAATGTATCTAGGCAGTGGTAATGCACACTTTTTAACACCAGCACTTAGGAGGCAGAGGCAGGTAGATCTCAGTGAGTTTGAGACCAACCTGGTCTACTGAGTAAGTTCCAGTACAGAGAAACCCTGTCTCAGAAAAAAACAAAAAGGAAAGGAAAAAGAAAGAAAGGAAGGAAGGAAGAAAGAAAGAAAGAAAGAAAGAAAGAAAAAAGAAAAAGGAGAGAAATAGGGCTGCGTGGCTCAGTGAAGGGCACTTGTTTAGCATGTTTGAGGCCCAGGTCTAGTACTGTCAAAAATAGAAAAAGAAAGAATGGGAAGAAGCCTGGTGCCTACTTGGTTTGCAGCTATCCAGACAACTGAATCTCAATGCCCCAACTCTGTCCCTACCCCCAGTCTGTAGAAGGGCACCACTGAGCCCTAGTACTGGAGCCCAGGGCTCCTATAGCTGGACAAGTGCTCCACCCTGAGCTATACTCCAGATTACCCAGTGCCTTAAAGGCAAACAATTCACTTCTCCCTAGGTGGAGTGTGCTTGTAACCCTAACAGTTGGCAGGCTGAGGCAGGAGAGGGCAAGCCTCAGCAGGGGCAGGGGAGAAAAGTTCTAGTCAGACATGTCCTCAACATCTCAGAAGAAAAGGACAATTGCATAGTCTCACCAGCTCTGTGGTTCACGATTTTTCTTGAAGTTTCTTTTGGTTTGTTTGTTTGACTTTTGTTGCTGTTATTGTTGTTTAAGAGACTCAAATGTATGTTTCTTTCTTCAGGTTGAAGCATATTCTACAGTTTGGATACATCATGAGCATGTCTACCCAGTTCTCTCCTGATGGACTTTTAGGTTATTTACACCTAGTGTCATTTCTCTCCTTCTTTTTGTCCAGACACTGGAGAAATATGTGTATGTGTATTTCAAGGGCTTGGTATGAAAGGTCACTCCTTAGGTAACACTATCATGTCTGAAAGGCCACTCCTTACCTAACACAAGCATGTGTGAAAGGTTACTCTTTAGGCAACACTATCATCAGGTGGTCTATAGAGAGCAGAAAGCAGTGCCTTTTGGATCATGCAGGATACCCAGGGGACACTTGGGGAAGTCAGAGTACATGGTGTGGAGCACTCACCACACTGGATGTGGTGGTCGATGCATTTCCATGGGTAGCGGTCTATCTTGGGGCTGCAGCCAGTCTTCTGAGCTCGAGAGTAACAGCAATCATGATGATGGCAGCACCTGGGGGGGGTGCAGAGTGGGTAGACCAATAGCTGCATGAAAGAGGGAACTCTATTGGACTCCCCATCTGATCAGGGCTAACAAAGATCCTCAAGGAACTCATGACCTCTGATGGGCATTCTGTCTCTCACAAAACCAATCCTGAGGAAGAATTCTACCAGCCTTACTCCTTGACCTAACTGGATCCTACCCCTGCCTGCCTCCTTGTAACTCTGAGCTTCCCTTTCTTTCAGAGTCCAGGTTGTGCTTTCTGCCTTGACAATCCAACAGCCTTCTTGGCCATTAGGTCTGGCCCAAGGCATCAGATTCCACCCAGAAGTGGTCATTCTTTCTTCTTTCCCCTCAGGCTAGGAATATCTCTTGTCACACCCTGTCATAAAAGTATTTCCCTTTCCTCTAAGCAGGTTAATTATGAGTTCTCATTATAAACCTCATACTATTTGTCCTAAGACTGGAACTCTGTGGAACCCTATTGTTTCTTTTCCTCACAGTGTACTCCAGGGCCAGCTACTCTGACATATAATAGACCATCAGTAAACCTCCACACCTTCCCTGTACCTGTCAACACCTGGCTAAGGATTCACCATTCAACTCCAACCCTGCCTTTGGGGAGGCAAATCAGCTACATGACGTGTGCTAAGGGATGTGGGTTAGCCAGAGGGACTCCAGGAGTCCAGAGGAAGTGGCAGCTTCAGGTAAGCTTCTGGAGAGGCTTTCTGGGAGTGGGAATTGCAGAGACACCTCTGAAGACATGGTGTGAGAACCAGTTGGAGTGAAGGAATACATAGCTGTCATCAGATGCACCCAAGATTTAGAGACAAGCCATGGCGTTTCTGTCTCCAGCTGGGGAGGAGGTAGCCACATTCTACACTGCATGCTTCATTAGCTTTGTAGCATCGAGCTAGTGTCTGAGTCTCTGGGAGTCTGCTGCTGCTGCTTCCTGAGTAGAATCATGACAGTGAGTAAGATGTCCCAGGAAGAACTTGGCTCTTAGCATGCACAGAACAGACTTTTCACAGGGTATTCACTGTGCTCTGTGCTGGCCCAATAAGCAATTTGATGGTTCTGTGGCTTGAGTTCCTTGTCTGTGAAAAGGTACTGTTAAGGATTCTTGGAGAACTACAGACTAGATAGCTTTATGTTGTTACTAGGTAATGTCATCAGTCCACAACCAAGGTTAAAGTTAACTGGTACCAAGATGTCTCCCTACTGAGCTCAGAAACTAGGAACCCCTCTGTAGGGTAATACTAGGTTCTGGGATCTTCCTGGTCAAACCTGACTTCAGTTTGGGGTTTTTCCTCATAAGCGTTGGTTGTCTTAGGAGTTGGGAGATCTTGTACTCTGGACCCCAGTGTACACTCACCAGTCAATGGCATCACGTGGCTTTCCTTGGCCACCCAGGCCACAGTAACAGCCATAGTTCATATAGGCTATTGGTGATCGAGGACCAACACAATCCAAGGTCCCTGCCAGTTCCAGGAGCCCACGCTTGTACACATGTGACCTCCTGGTTGCTGAGGGGTAAACAAAAGTCATAGGTTCAAGGCCAGAGTTTCCCTATCCCTAGTGAAGAACACTAGCCTGAGAAGGACCTAGATGTTTTGATTTGTCTGGGTTTGATCCCAATGTCTAGGCGTGTGCCCTTGAACAAATTACAGATCTGTTTGTGCTTTCATTCCTCATTTCCATAGTGCAGGATAAAGTGGCATCAATTCACAGAATAAAGTTAGACAAGGCATTCATGGTACCCTACACATCACAAATTCAATTACAATCCAGATCTTTAAGGCACTCTGAGTAGAAAAGTGAGTTGTAGACCATAATGTAGGAGAGATCACACCACTGGATTTTGCACAGGCTGACCTTTTCCCCTAGAATACCCTGAATCTCATGGCTCTGTCCCTGTGAACTTCAGACGTAGTCAGAATATAAGCTGGGTGTTAAATATTTATCATGCTAGGCGCTTTTTTTTTTCATAAGAGGTAAGCTGAATAGCATTCTTGCACAAAGGAGGGCTTTTCTGGGGGTTCCTAGTCTCTGAGCCTCTCTATTCTCCCCCATTCACTTTGGCTATGTATCAGCTTTTATTTTCACCTCAAGTTTAGCTTCCTTCCTTAGCCTAAGTCCAGCCATTTCTTGGGGTCCTGGTGCACCTCTAGCACCTGTAGCACTCAACAGGTGTAACAGTAAACCCTGCATTTAAAATGAGATCAGCTGTGAAAGGTAGCCTTCATGCTCCCACAGCTCACAGCACTGGAGCTAAGGCTCTGGCTCAACACTGGTAGTTTTTCACTTGTGTGTAGTGACAGCAAGGAAGGGGGACTGCAAGATGTCAGGCCTGGGGAACACTGGCAAGAGAGCAGGACCAAACTCACAAGTCTGTTTGCTGAGAGATTACAGCCACCCCACCTTTTCCTCCCAACACTCCAGGATGTAAGACAGTGGAGCCTGGCCCTGGGCTGCCATGACTCTCATCTGTTACTTAGATGTTTCCATCATAATGACTTACTTAAGGGCTCCACACTGAACTTAAATCCAATCATGTTTTCTCTCAAGCACCACAGTAGACTCTGGGAGGGGGTTTTCAAGGTGGCTCAGATAAGAAGAAAACTGAGTTTAGAGAAAAGCTGAGTTTAGAGAAACTGGGCCTCTAGCTCAGATGGTAGAGTGCTTGTCTGGCGTACACTGGGTTCCATATCCAGCATCATATGAAGAAGACATGTATGCGTGTATCCCCAGCACTTCAAGGTGGAGGCAGGAAGATCAGAAGTGAACGTTATCTTTGATTAGATATAAGTTTGATGTCAGCTTAGGCTATACTTTCCTTTCTGGATGATAAGCCTTCCAATAGCCTTGAGGCTTCCATGGTTCCCATGGATTTGGGGTAAAGCTCTCAGTTCCACTATACCCCTGTGGAGATTCAAAGTTTGACCCCTAAGCCTTCTTACCTCTCCAGAGCTCAACTATCCTTCCAGTCAAGCTTATCACTATAGCTCCTGCCTCCTCTTCAGCCAGCTCACCACAACCTTTTTCTACAAGTGCTGCCTGTTTATGGGGGTGCCCTTCTAGTTTGGATTTTCTTTCAGAACAGCTCTCTGACTCACATGGCTCTCAATACGCTGGCATACAGAAAGGCTTCTAGGAAAGGTCTGCTGACCTCAGGAGCCACCAAGCCCAGGTGAGACACTCCTAGCCTAAGCACTCCCAACACAGTACCTTGAAACCATCTACACAGCTCTCTCCACTCTACCCCAACCACTCTCTGCTATCACAGAGGCTGGAACAGTCCATAAAGGGCCCAGGCCAGGAACAGAAAACAGCACTGTGTTTGGAACCAAAGAAAACACTCCCTTTGTGCCAACATAGGTGGGGCAGGTCAGGCTGGGGTCTGTTTGCTCTGTCTACCTGTGGGCAGCCTCCTCTGGCAATGCCAGGACCCACACGGCATTGTACAAGCCCAAGGACTTAATGCTGGTATACACCCAGTGTGAGTTATCCTGGGCATCCCCGCTCTGTATTACCCAGTGCTGCTGCTTGGAACAACTGTGGCATCTGCGATGACAATCTGGGTGATTTTGTTCCAGAGCAGAAACCTCACACCTGCACTCAGATAAGTCCAGGGCTGGCTCTGTACCTGTATGTCTTACTGTACCCCACCCAGGATTAGGGGTTCACCAAGAGAAACCCCACCCACCGGAGTCTAAATCCTATCCCTAATCCTTCCACCCACAGGGTCCTGCCTGGAAGTCTTGCCTCAAACCTCACAGGAAGGGGAAGTTATTGCCAGTTCAGAGGACTCAAGCTTAGGGGCTGGGAGCTCCAGGCTGCTGGAGAGGACCCCAGTAACAATTATGGAGGGAGGACTCTGATATCCCCTACCCCTTGAGTTTCTGAATGGAATGCCTGAGTGGAGGACCCTGGAAGGAATCAGAGACAGGGTTCCTGAGTGTCTGGGAAGGTAGGTGTGTGGGGCATCTGAAGACAGGACTGGGGATTTTAAAGCTTCTAATACTGTAAGGATTGTTGAGTTGGTGGCAATGAGAAAAAAAACGAGGAGGTATGGAATCTGACCCAGACTGGAGGAAGCCAGTCATCACTCACCTAGGTGGTCACTCACCTTCACTGCATCGGTATCCAGGTCCTACCAGCAACAGCAGCAGCAGCAGCGGCATTATTCACCTATACAGAGGTAGCCTACACATAGGAGGGTGGCAGGCATGGGACTGACCAGAAGGGCTAATATACTCAGCAATCCTGCTGACCCTTACCTCCAACCCCACCCCCTATCTTACCTTCTCTCTGTGGGTGGAGTCAAAGGGAGTGGTCCATCACCTGGAGCCATGGGGAGTGTCTGTCCCTGACTTCTGCAGATTGGTCCCCCAAAGGGATCCAGACAACAAACAGAGTTCTAAGACCAAAAGGGGGTCAGGCCCAAGGATCCCTAAATGGAGTGAAAAGATGCAGTGTTGATGTTGAAGAGCACTGGCAATGCTCATTTACTTTAGCATTTTTACAACACAAGAATTGTACTCCCGAGGGGGCAATTGCAATTAACACTCTATAGCCTACTCACTGATACCACCACAAAGTGAGAAACTGAGGTACTCAAAGGTTGCTCAAAGTCATGCAGCCATTTCTGGTAAAAGATAGGGCTGGGGCACTGGTGGTGGTGAACTGGGAAGCTAGGGCAAAAGGATGTGAGGAATTCTGAACCAACCTGGACTTGGCAGTCTTGGAGAGGAGATGGGGAGTGAGGAGGAATGGAGGAGAAAAAAAAAAAGACAGGAATGGAGGGGGCAGAAGACTACCTATCCCATGTAGGTCTGCTTCAAGCTTCTTATTTGTTGGATGGTTTCCTTCTGGAGGAAGGAAGAAGGTAGACTCAACAGATGCTCTATACTGAAAAGAAATGGTAATTAGACACATTGCTTTTTGCCCCGATGCTAACACCTTTTTTTTTTTTTTTTTGTTTTGTTTTGTTTTTTTTTTTTTTCCTTCCTGGAGCTCATTTTGTAGACCAAGCATTCTAGGAAAGTGGGTTTTTGTTTGTGGTTTTGTTTGTATGTTTTTTTGTTGTTGTTTTTTTGTTTTTTGAGGCGGGATTTCGGTAACTATGGAGTCTGTCCTGGAATTCACTCTGTAGACCAAGGTGGCCTCTAACTCACAGAGATCCACCTGCCTCTGCCTCCCAAGTGCTGGGATTAAAAACATATGCCACCTCTGGCCACCAATTTTTGTTGTTTGGGTTTCATACCTGATTGAGTGAAACCTTGAGAAACACCCTGTCTTTACCTTATGAACAAATTCTAGTAAAGATAAATAATATCTCTAGCCCCTTCCCCCCCCCCAAAAAAAAGAAGAAAAAGAAAAAAGAAAAGAAAAGAAAAAGAAAAAAATTTGAACATTGAGGAAATTCCTTTTTTGGATGTGAGCCTAGCCTTTAATGGCTGAGCTATCCCTCCAGCCCGAGAAAATTTCTTTAATGGTGGAGGTAAATAGGAAGAAATCATACTCAGAAACCTGAACAACAGCATTGTGAGTAAAGTAGAGGTATCATTTCCTTTTATCATCTATGTCTTTCTAATCACAGATGGGTGAGGAGATAAGAATTCAGATGAATAAGCCCTGTAGTTTTATTATTTTTATAAACTATAGAGAAAAATATGTGAATAAATGCATGGCACAATATAGACAATGTATGTGATTTTCTAATCCCTTCTTACTAAGACTGTGATTACCTCACTTTCCCACTTGTTTTCTTCCTCCAACCCCTCCTAGAATCCCCCCCCAGTTCCTCCCATACCCTCATCTCAACCCCCATCTCAAACTGATAGCCTCTTTTTGTTTATTACTTACATACATATATGTGTGTATGTATATGTCTTCACAAATTTAGAAGTGTAACCTGCTGGGTGTTTTTGTTTTTGATGTATGTATGTATGTATGTATGTATGTATGTATGTATGTATGTATGGTTTCAGAGCTGACAACTTTGTATTGAATTATCAATAAGGTTCATTCCTGGGAAAGGCTAATTAGGCTGTTAGTTGCCTGTATTCTTGGTCTTGGTGGCAGGACTCAGTGGAACCCCTACTCACATATTAGCATATCTGTTGTCACTGTCAAGCCAGTTTTGTTTGTGAGCCATTTCCTTTTTTTTTAATTTCTTTGTTTAAATTAAAAACAATCTTATTTTACATACCAATCCCAGTTGTCCTCTTGTCCTTCCACTCTCCCCACCCCACCCCCCCATCCACTCCTCAGAAAGGGCGAGGCCTCCCATGGGAGATCATTAATCACATCATTTGGGCAGGATCTAGGCCTTCCCTCATGTATCCAGGCTGAGCGAGTATGCCTCCATAGGGAATGGGCTCTAAAAGCCTGTTCATGCACTAGGGATAAACACTGGTTCCACTGCCAGCGGCCCCAGGCCTCCAAGGAACACCCATATTCAGGAAGCCTAGTTTGGTTCTCCAGCTGTCGGTCTGGAATCCCTGAGCTCCCACTTACTCGAGTCAGCTGTTTCTATGGGTTTCCCTGTGCTCATCACTCCTCCCTCTCTACAACTGGATT